GGGTGTGTTTGAGGGTGCCTTTCAATTCCTGCTCTCAAATCTCTTTCATGACTTCCAGGTGCTTCTCAGCACCAGAGGAGGTGCATGGGTTTTCAGGCGAGTCTTTGACTCAGGGTACCCATGGGACATGGTGCTTATAACACGATTTCAAACTGCATTCAGAAATTTTCTCCCAACTCCAATTTTGACTTGGTTGATGGAAAAGAAGATGAACAGCTGGTTCAATCATGCAAATTATGGCTTAATACCAGAAAACAAGTAAGTATAACGTATATACCAAAAACTGTTAGAGAGATGGAAGCTGAAACTTTCCGGCAATACAGTATACAGACCACGCAATATTATGGCAATATGGTTGGGGGATTAAATTTTTCCATACAAATTTGCTGGTGATAGTAATAGCTGCTCTTAAGTGCTTCAGCAATGAATTTACATATTTAACTCTTTAGGGTAAGTATTATTAGGTACAATCCCCCTTTCCTTATGGGATAACTGAGATCTAGCCAAATTTAGTCACGTTCCTGAGCTCATGTAGCAGTGAGAAAGCTCTGTGAACTTGATGAGTTGCAGCAAAAAAAGTAAATGATTTGCCTATGATCTTGTTAACAAAAGCAACACACTTGTTTCATTGTCCTAGAAAAATTGCATCCAACAGTTGTCCTTTTATCTTTCTAATGACAGTGACTTCTTGCCGTGGTCAAGATGATCTTAAGTTTAGTCTTTCCCTTTAGATACAAACTGTGACTTACCCTATTATCAAGAACCAAATGTATTACTCTTTATTAGCTAAATCTCTATTGTGAAAAAGCAATGAGCAGGAAACACTGCAGCAATGAGATCCTGTCTGTGGTCCCTCACACTCCAAAAAAAAAAAAATTTCACTCCGGACCCCACATGGATGAGTGGTCCCACACCATCAGCAATGGCACACACTCTCCCCTTAGTCACTTCTGCCTTCTCCTTGACACGTCCCTCTTTTTATTGTGATCGTTTTTTTTTTTTTTTCCTTATTTCTTATCTCCTCTCCCACCGCCAGTCTTCTCGGGAGCTTTGACACTTTCCACCATAGTTCTTTTTACCATAAATTCTATCAAGCCTCAATGGTGACTCACAGGACTAAAGAACTATCACCCTTCTCTCTTTCTGATTTAGTTAATCCTTTACCATTTCCAAAGTTCCTACATATAGCCTATCATAAACACCATACGTGCTTTGCTTCCACCCAATGGCCTAAAGATGGCAAGTTGTTAGTATCCCTATTTTGTAGAAGAATACAAGAAAGCCCACATAGGCCATATGACTTGCTAAAGCTCTGTTAAGTTGAAATACACAACTGAAA